GATAACGAAGCTAATGAGGTTGCAGAGAATGATAACGAAGCTAATGAGGTTGCAGAGAATGATAACGAAGCAAGGGAAGATGAAACAGGGAGAGCAATTTTTGAAACAGATTTCCTTGAACAAGAAATCGCCGCTGGCTACAAAGCGTCAGTCATTACCGATCACCGATCCACATTTAATGTTCTATTCCTAGGTTCTTATTATACTTCTATACTATTTTTCAAATTAAAGTTACGTATTTCATAAAGTTTAGCTTTACTACAATCACAAAACTTATTTCATTTTCTTCTGTTTTTTTTTTAGCCGATAACTTTTACTTTCGTTAGTAACGTTAACTTTAATAGTTTAAAATTCTGTGTAACATTAAAAAGAGTAAAAAAAGATATGTAAGTATAAATAAATAAATTTTTTATTACACACTCGAATTTATATTCAGATTACTAATTGATTACTTGTATCATTCAAGTTATTAAGCCACAGGACTTAAAATCATAGGCCTTTAAGTGCAGAATTATTTTGGGACCTTATTTTTGAATATCGAACTCGACCCTTATTTGTGATTCCCCGATTATAAATCTAAATATATAATTGAATTTAATATTTTAATATATTGTATTTACAACTTATTAAATATAAGAGGTTGTATCTGTCTAGGTACTTTTATTATATAGATATAATAAATAACTAGAGAATTTAATAAAAATTTTCTTGCCTTGTACAATCTCTAAGCTAAATATAAATTTTGGGTATTATAATTTTTTATACTTGTGTATGTAAAATTTAACATTGTTACTTTTTGAACACATGTTTCATAAAGCATATACAGTTTACAGAATTTGAAAAATACAAAATACTTAAGAGAAATAAAAAATTGTGCTATAATAATTTAATAGGAAATAGTGATCTTGGAAAATTCGAAAAAATTGCTATAGCGATTGATTAGTGATTTTTCACTACGTATGACTTGCATTATTATTATGCATTGTAAACTATCCCAAAATTAGAAAATTTGACTACGTACGTAGCTAATATGTAAATATAGATTTTGATTAAGATAATAAGTTATGATGCGTCATTTTAATAAATTCCTATGTTTAATAGATGTGTGGGTGTGTGTGTGGGAAAATGGGTTAGACGCATTATCGTATAGATCAGGGGTTCAAAAATTTTCTCAGGGTTTATTATTGATTAATTAATATATCGATATAATTTGGTAATATATAATTTGGTTAGTCGTAATTACGTAATTAGGTTGTAACAAAATTACCTCAATAAAAATACAGTAATCTGTTTTAAAATAGTTCCAAATGGCGGTGAGCACATACCATATATTACTCATGTAATGTCATAATCGGATTCAAATATTCCATTGATTTTTTTTTTTTTGGTTTTTGCCCCCTTTCACCTCTTGTTCCTCTAGGAGGAAACTTGTACTTCGTCATGAAGTTCCATACGAATATGCTACTCTTGAGTTGAGGAAACTTGTACTTCGTCGTGAAAGTTCTATACGAATATGATACGCTTGTTCAAAAGAAGTAACTACTGCAACTTCTGCAAGAGCTACCACTACTGAACAAGAAACCTGCTAGTGCTACCACTACCGAACAAGAAACTACTGCTAGAACTACCACTACCGAACAAGAAACTACTGCTAGAACTACTACTACCGAACAAGAAACTACTGCTAGAACACCACTACTGAACAAGAAACTACTGCTAGAACTATCGCCACTGATTGTCATATCTACTACTACTGAACAAAAAAATAACTGCTGTAGCTACTACCACTGAACAAAAGAATGACTGCTGTAGCTACCACCGCTAAACAAGTCTTGTCGTTTGAACAGTCCTATTCGAATTGTTTCACATTATATGGATGTACATTCTTCTGGTGTTTTTGATGACACAAATATTCATTTTATAAGGAAAGAAGTAGTTAAAGAACCATTACCGCCAAACATTGTGAATATTATTTTTCAATAATCAATTATATAATTACTGATTCTTGGGAATTTTTGTTAATGTATTATCTGATCAATTGGTTCAGTTGTTTTCTAGTTCTTTTTTTTTCAAGTTAAACAACTACGTGTAATAACACAAAAAACAAACATTCATTTATCACTTTTTTGAAATATTGGTTTCTTGCTTAAAAAGAAAAATAATCAAGAGGTTGATACTACACAACTTGAAAACATAGTATCTTGTGTTTCTGTCGCAAATGCCGGATTCTATATGTGTTCTCTATCAAGAAAAAAGCAAAGTACCTGATGACGTTGAAAATTTATTAAAATACAAAATACTGAATTACAATACTATTATAAAATAAAATCAGAAATGTTACTTGAACAACTGGTGCGACTTGTAAGAAAAACTTACCTGAATACGCGTTAACAATAGAGAATCCCCTAAAAATGACAATGATTTTACTGAGGTTCGTGCAAATATTCCAGTAGTCTGTTGTGGTGAAACTGGTTGTGACAAGGTTTGAATGATATACTAGAGAATTTTCTCAAGATGACTAAGATCATCTGCAAATATTCCAGTAGTCTGTTGTATGAAGCTTGTAGTAAGGCTTGAATGATATTAGCATAAAATTCATCTTTATTTAATTGTTATAATACGCGAGATTGTTAATTTTTTTTTTTATTTAATTAGCTTCTTGTCGATGGCCATGGAAGCCAATTTTCGAGCATTAAATCTTCATGCAAGAGCTCATGGATATGACATTCTAGATTTTATAAAAAAAGTCACAGCACTCGTGAAAGAAGATGAAATTTGGATTTTCTTAGATGAAATAAATATTTGTGACCATATTAGAATTCTTGGAAGGTTGAGTTCACAACAGACTTTTTAATGAAAAAAAAATACATCCAAATATTAGAGTATTTTCTGTTTGACATCCTTATCGGTTAAGAGCTAAAGCGCAAAGTAATATAGGTTTATCTGCCAAATTGTACGAAGAAAACGGCAAATTGGTTTATCAAGATGGCAAATTGGTTTATCAAGACGGCAAATTGTTTATCAAGTATATCCAATGCCTGATCAAATATTAGATTACGTTTGGAACTATGGTCATCTCAAATAGCTAATGAACGAAATTATTCATTTTTGCCAAATTATTATGCGCGTCAAAAGCATTTATTCATAAAATTGAAGAGCAATTCAGCGTTATGTAAGAGATATGAAACATGCTATCAATTCAATTGTGTGCAAAATAATGAGAAAAAAAATTATATATCTCAAAATTCATCTATTGGCGCTAGCACTTAGTTTATGTTACTTTTTTAAACTTTATGACTAATCTTAACGTAAAGAACACCAAAAAGAAATGATCATTATAATAGGAAAGTATCAATAAATTGATGAACCTCGAAACCAGAAAGATTTTTTGAGAGAATTATTTCACACAAATATAAAAATTATATTAAACGTATGCGGTGTCCTGAAAGAATTGCAGAAAATGGAGCTCTTAGAAAATCTTCTCGTAATGATACCAGTTTTCATAATTGGCAACCGTGAAAGTGAATAATATGATGTAACATGAAAGTATATATATATATAGTTTTTTTTTTTTTTAATTTTTTTTCTTTTTTATAATTCAAAATCTTTAGCTATACATATTATAGTATGAATCTTCGAGGAGCGGATTCAAATGATTCTTACTTTCAAACCTTGCCTCAAGTCTGTATATTAGGCTATTATTATTTTTTATTTCTTGATGGTATGTTGTGTAGAGGGTTTATTTTTTTTTTGCTATATATAAACTGATGGTAGATGATAAATATTGAGATCTATTATTATTAGTTTATTATTGTTATACTTTTTAAATATATAAGCTCTATTTCCTGTTTACATATCAAATATATTATAAATGATTTTTTATTTATTTTAATTTTAATTCCCAAAAGAAAAAACAGAAAACACAGGACTCGATTTTGCCCTACCTCTTTCGCTAAGAAGCTATTGAACTGACAGACCGGGTGGAGTACGAAAATAATTTAGATATCATTAATTTAAAGTTTAAAATAAAATACAATATTCTCTTTTTTTTTGGATAGTTAAATCCAACGTTATAAATATTTGTTTTTATTATTTCTTTTTTTTTATAAGATTTAATGATTTTAATAAACATTTCATAAAGTTTGAATAATATAAAACTATTAATATTTAATTTTATAAAGATGTATATATTAATTTGTATTGAGATTTTTATCTAGCGATTAAATGTGAATAATTATAAATTAAATAATTTTTTAGTAAAATTTTTTAATTAATAGTAGACTATTTTTTAAAAAAAAAAATTATAATTGGTCTTTTATACGAAGCTTTAGAAACTTTTGAATATATTATATTTTTTATTGGTTAAATATATAAAAATAACTTAGGCATGGCCTCAATGTAAAAATTAAAAAAAAACAAAATAAAAAATAACTTAGTCAAATATTAATAAATACTAATCTAAAAAATTAAATTGGTTTATATAAAAAATTAATCCAATTTCTACAAGTTATTTAATCATTAATATTTATATAATAATTTAGAAAGAAATTGGCATTTAATTTTAAATCGATCATTAAGAAAATCATATTGGCATAGTAGAATTGCAAAATTGTATTCAAATTAATTACATGCAGAATGCTGTATATAATAGCAAAATTTTAAAATTGTTTTATATCTATGTTGTTAAAATCTATAGTCTAAATCATATAATAATACGATCTCGATTTTACTTTTTATTTTTTTTAATTTTTTTTTACTAAATCTACTTAAGCATATACTAATATATATTTATTTTTTAGTTTTTTATTTATCTTTTTTACTATTTTTTTATTTTTTATTGGCATTTTTTTTTGATATTTCTAGTTTCTTAATTTTTATTTTTATAATATTACTCTAGCTTAGTATTCTGTCACTCTAATTTTTAATATTTGTATAGTAATTAGAAAACAACAATACTGTAGTAGTTTATATTATTATATAATATTTTAATAAAAAAAATATAAATTTATATTTATTATTTATTATATTTTATTTGTAAAAATATTATATAATAATATAACAGAGGATATTCTGATAATCCAAGCAAGGATACTTTACAGAGAATTTAAATGGGCAAGCCCGTAGTCTAGGTTGCAAGTATAGTATTTAGTATAGAACTTATATAGGTGAACTACGTAAAATAGATATCAAAAATATATAGGTGGCTAGAATATACTTTTTAATATAAGAGGTCCTATTGTGAACTTTTTTGTTTAACAATACTTGAATAAAGTTTTAGCTTCAAAAAGGCTAGTTAAAATATATATTATACACCAGATAGGAATCTACCTGATTCAGAATCTGGCTATCCCAATTTAGAATTGGGGTAACTAGATTTAGAATTCTTATACGAATACCTGGTTCAATAATTAGTAAGGTTATGATTAGGGTTAGAATATTAGTATAGTGAACTGGGTACCCGTATAAGAATTCTAAATCAGGACAGCTAGATTCTGAATCAGGCAGATTCTTATCTGGGCACAACATAAATATATATTTGCAAACTTATATATATTAATAATTATATAAAATTTTTTTATTATAAATTATATTTTTAACTATTAACCAAAAATCAAATATTGATTTTTTTTCAAATTATTATAAAATATTAAATATTAAATAGTATATATTTAACCAATATATTAATTATTAAAATAAAATAAATTAAAAAATAAATAATTTTTTACATTACTATAATTTTTGCTATTGTTTATTTTTTAAAAAATAGGCATAACTCAAAAATTCATCTATAAAACTACCTTTGAGGCTCTAACAAAAAAATTTTTTGCAAAATTTTGGTATAAGCTATGCCTATGCCCCATTCTAGGCCTCAACCCTAACCCTAATATTAAACAAAATTTAATTTTTATTTTGATAAAAATTATTTTAATCTACATGTACAGATTTTTATATGACTGGTGTTAAACACTACAGGTATGATTTATAATTTTTGATTTTTTATAATAAAATAATAATATTACTTTATTTTGATCAAAAACAAAAATAAAAATACCTCAACAATTAAATATAAGAGAATTTCTATTTGTACACGGGGGTGTATGTACACTGGCAAGATAGATATCACAAAAGTTTGATTATGAAACCATCTTTTTGCTTCTAACAAAAAAAATTCCTTGTAAATTTTGGTATAGGATATACCTTGCCCGATCCCGAACCTACCATTACCCTAACCATAAGTGAGGGTTTAATTTTTCATTTGTAAAACTTGTTTTGACTAGCATGTTACAAGAAATTGTAATTCAATAAATTATACCCATGTATAAACACTACGTGTAAACTAATAAATTTTCTTTTTATATTCTTTAGATTTTCTAAATTTTTTATAAAAAATTTTTAATTCAAATTTTTTATATTAGAGTTAATTTTTATAGTCAAGGTTAGGATATGAAAAAGATTTTTTGGAGCATAGAGCATTTTCATCAAAGAATCTTATACCGATTAATCAGCCAGTTTTTAAGATAATATATATAGGTGTAAAACACCATAGGTATAAATTTAATATATTTTAAAAACTTCTATCATAATAATATTAATACATTATATAATTTATTATTATTTGTATATATTCAATTTTCTAAAGCAACATGTATAGTAACAAAACTACAAATTATTTTATTTTCTTAAATACTATTGTCATTTTAAGTTTTTTCCCAAAAATGAAAATTTGTAACGTAGTAATTGTTAATTACTTATTACTTTGACAGGTGAAATGTAATTTGAAAGTTGGAGGATTTAAAAGAATTCAACTGATATAATTTTAGTATTGTACGAAAACTTCAAGTTTGTTTAATGGACTTGGCCTGTTTCACAGGAGAGATAATCTATCTTGGCTTTCTAAAAAAAGTATTGTAAACCATATAAAAAATCTTTTAACACTTATATATCACTATCAAAATCGATTTCCTAATTTGGGGGACGTCTAAAGCGGAGCAGATTTAATTAACTTTAGGGTTAGGGTCATCTTATATTGGGGTTAGGTCAGGTTTTAGGTAGTTATATATAAGCAAAATTGCCTTCTCGACATTTTTAATTAACCTATCTGAGGTAGGTTTAGACTGCTGTTTTTTGTATTTTTCAGGTATTTCGTTTTTATTTCTTGTTTTGCTTTGCCGGCGATCATCAAAATTCTTGCCCAGATATCACGTGATTCTGCTCCGCTTTAGACGACCCCCTAATTTGGTTTTCAATACAACCAAAACATCAATATTTATTTATTTTTTTGTTTTTTACATTTTTTTTTATTCATAATTTATCTCTGGTTAAGAAAACTGTATACATAATGAAAGTTCCAAATGCTTAGTCAAAAGAACTACTGTTAGAGTCACCACTAACCACCATAGCTACCACTATTAAAAAAAAAAAAACTGCCATAGCTACAAGAAATGACCGTCGTAGCTACCACCACTAACACTACTGAACAAAAAACTAACTGCCAGAGCTACCACCACTGAAAAGCTGCCACTATAGAAAGAACTGCTTCATTTACTGTTTATCAAATTTTGGGTTTGATTATGTCTCTAAAATCTTTTATTAACTTAATGTTTCTTTCTTTTTAAAAGATTTTCGTGTTATATTAAGGTAAATATCTTTTGTAAGCTGAACAGAAAAAGGGTTTTTATTATTTTCAAATGCTGGGCCTATTATTATTTTTTATTTCTCGACGGCGTGCAGTGGGAAAATTCGTTATTTATTTATTTATTTTTTATTATTATTATTTATTCTCGATGGTACGCAGCACGGGTGTTTTTTGTTTTTATTCCTCGATTGCGAACAGTGCAAAGGTTCTTTATTTATTTATTTTTTTTGCCGTATATGGGCCAATGATGGGAAATTATTTGAATTTTTAATTCACTTTTTTCTCTTATTCCATAGAACAGATTGATCAGTATAAAAGCTTTATAGTGAAGAACTAGATATCTTATATGAGCAATCTGAAAATTGGGATGACAATGAGAATTTACGCTCAGAAATAATTAAAGTATTTCTCGAAAATTTTTCAATATTCTGGTAGCGATTCCACCAACAATCCTACAACTCGATGGCAACCTATACTTTGAAGATTTTCATCTATAAATTTTCGCCGTTCATGTGATAATGAACTTTAAACTATCCGACCAGATTACACATATTTTGGTAGATAAGTTCTGATGCGCTTATTGCTGAACCAGAATTGGCCCGAATGTGTCCTTCGATCATGGAATTCATATTCAAAGATATCAATAATGAGAGTGCGCTTTAGAATAAATTTAATAGGTCAAGCATGTAAAATGATGCTAGAAAACACTATGAAAGCACAAATTATTTACGAGAATTGCATCAAGTTGCTAATATTTAACGTCTTCAGAATCAAAGACTCCGAGTTTTAACGTATCTGTAATAATTTGATTTTCAACACAATTGATCAACATTTCGGATATAGTAAATGCCATTAACATTAAACGTAAACTGATCCAGACAATAAAGAACCTGATGATGATATTAACACTAATAAAATGCAACTAGCACTCGATTTAGATAATCTGGAAAATATACTTTCCCAAGAATTTGTTGATCGTGTGTTGGAACTTTTTGACAATATTCCATCTACAGAACGAATCATAAAGTTACGATGTTTGTTCTTTCGCAGATGTTTGGATATTTCATTCGATTTACCAGTTTGTGTTCATCTTTATGAAATACAGTCGTCCCTCATTAATATCAACCCCGTTGATATCAACCTAAACTATAAAATGAATTTCTATATATTAAAGTTATATTAAAATTCTCTCATACATATATCAATTTTAATATAATCCCTCATTAATATCATTATCAACATGAATATGAAAGCGATCCAAATGGGTTGATATAAATGAGGGACGACTGTACTTTTTGACGGGAACCACGTGCACTTTAGTTCTGTTTTGTCCGCATTTTACTTTCAGAAAAAACTTTCAGCCAGGAATTTTTTTTATTCAACTAATTTAAAACGAAAAAGTCACCTTAAACCGTTCTCCGAATTTGATTGTATTAATATCGCTTTTAGAAAAAACAGTGCTGATTCACCGATTATGGCTTTATGTTGTGGTGTAATACAAAATGACTTGTTTGCAAAATGGAATATTAAAGGTCTGATGAACACTATAAAGATGCGATCAACGTTTTACGCAATCCAAATTTCGAACTCCTGCAATTGTTGCTGTCACTTTACTTAAAGAATTTGTCAATTGTCTTTGGAATTTATTAGAATTCATCCAAAACATGGAAACAGAGCATTTAATGTTTATAAACAAAATTGATGAAGTTATTAATGATATTAATCTAGCTATGGAATGTCAGTCGCATCTCATTCGTTCACTCAAGTTATACTTCGTGATTTATATTCCAAAGGATTCTCATTACCTGATTAAATATTTTGTGAAGGACAATGAAAGACATTTCCATGGTTGACTGATTTTGACTGGAATGAAAGCAACAGCAAGATTAACTTTGTAGCTTATCGCTGTTATAGAAACAGAAGAAGCGTTTACTCAACTATTTAAATACGGTCAACATCAGAAATTTTGAATAGAGATTTGAATAATTTGACAATAAGTGCGAAAATGTCTATAATTGGAGTTTTGATCACCCTCTATATGTATACGAGCAATTACAATTGTTAGGCGAAACCTAGGTATTTCGCCAAAAAAAAAAAAAAAAAATTAACAAGGCGAAATTGTGAAAGGTGGCGAAAGGTGGCGAAATTGGCGAAACTGGTGAAAGGTGGCGAAACTGGTGAAAGGTGACGAAACTGGTGAAAGGTGACGAAAACAGTAAAAGTGGCAAGACTTGTAAAAATAATAAAAAAAGTTGAAACTTTTTATGTAATCATCGACCTTTTTATTCCTACTTGTTCATCTTTAAATTGCTACATAAAAATTACGTACGTACGTACTTGATATCACACATCACTTGTGTATTTGCCAATGCACATATTTTCCGTAATCCGAATTTTATATAATCGTTGATTGCATTATTAGTTATTTCACGAGTTAAAATGTAATATAAATAATTTTTATGCTTACCTATGAATCAACTAGATCATCTAATAAAAATCCGACTATTTTTATCTGATGAATGTTTTTGATACAACCATTAACAGGAGGAAACGTACCCGATCCAAAGTGAATCCCACACATGGTGTGATAAATTAAAACTAATATAAATAATTTCAGTTTTAATTTATCGCAATTGATCACACCATGTGTGGGATTCACTTTGGATTGGGTACGTTTCCTCCTGTTACAACCATTGGATTATCCAAAATTAATTAAAACATGCGCCAAAATTGTGCAATACAGATTAAATAAAAGTAGTGTGGTTTCAGTATTAATTTATAAAATATTAGTACCAACCAATATTTATATTAAAATATATTAATTGTATATAAGACCGTTTGCAGTTGATTTTTCAGTTAACATCCATATAAATTTATATAATTTTTTCTAATTTTAGATGGATTGATAGTCACTGACCGTCAAAGACTGTAGCAAAAGACTAAGCGAAAGAATTTGCAAGAAATGAGAAATAATAAGGCTGCACGAATGTGGACAAATTAAAACTTGATCAGTCAATTAATTAATACTAAAAGAAGATCATTTATGCACACAAGCTTGAGTCTGTACAAACACGAATGTAGGTCATACCAGATAAAATTACGAGATATATGGCTTACAGATAGAAGAAATGCCGTACGGTACATCTTTTAAATGGATATTGGGTGTCACATTTCCAGCAATAGCCATTGGATCCATTGATTAAGTCATGACTCGAGCCATGGCTCAAGTTGTGGCTTCGGCATCCATGGCTCAAGCTAGAGCCATGGTTTTTAAAAAACCAAGCCAATTCATACAAACCATTAACAGCTCTAACAAATAAGTAGTAATTACGCTCATCAGGGCCCTTTTACTAGTCCCCAGATTTAATAAAATAATAGTAAACTCAACTGTAACGACCCTTAAATGACACAGTTAAATGACACAGTCAAATGACACAGTCAAACTGATCGATCATCTTAAAAAGTACCTTAAAAATATAATATAAAAATTCACGTCTAACTGATTCCCTACCCTTTACCCCTTAACTGATTACTTTTTTTTATAATGGAGATGTTATC